GGGGTCCAGGTGAGGTTGTTCCTGAAGAAAGCTATGTAGAATCGTCTCTTCTTCTTCGGCTATCCACTGCTGAAGACGGAGCCTTGCGCTCTTGATAGCGGCATCAATGTCCTTTTCTTCAGCAACAGTCGTTGTCGCCTAATTTTGCGCGTTTACATGGGCGATTGAAACTGACCTCTTGTAGATAAAGTTTGTACTGACTGATGCCGCCCTCTACGAAATTCAGTCCTCTGATTCGTATCCAGTTCAAAGCATTGCCGTGCCTTAGATCCGTCAATTTGTTCTGGAAGGATGGCTGTACCGTGGCTGGGGGGCAGTAACTCACCTCCAGAAGGGCTACGAGACGTTCGCGGTTTTCGCGAATCTGACCATAATATTCATGTAAGAATGGTGTCGTTTCTAGAAAATGTCTATTTCAAATACAACATCCCACTCAAATCCAGTCTTTGTGCCCTTCAGCAGCATTTAGGTTTTACCCAAACCGAAACCAACACTGACAAAAATCTTTACCAGTTTTCGACCCTTGACCATTTTTACCTACACAAGCAACGGTTTCTCGAATTCTCACGTTCGATTCGATAAAAGCGCAAAATAAATAGAATGATCGACAATTTTTCCTTCTGGCCCGGCTGGCGCTACTTTTTTGAGTACCTCGATCAAAGGCCTCAATTGCTGCGATTTGACCTTGATTATGCGCATCGACGGCAGCCTCAGCTGTGACTTCTTCAAAGAAGTCGTTCAGCAATGGCTAAACCACGGGTTTAGATACAACTTAGGCAGGCTCTTTGTCAGAATTGCTTCAAACAGAACTTTTCTTTAGGCCTGGCGACCAGGTAAATTTCAGACATTCTTACTTGAACAACGATGTCGTAAGCCCTCAGTCCAGCATCTACCGCTCCGCCGAGTGTTTCTTTCTCGTAGAGCTTAGAGTTCACGATGGAGCGTGCCTCGTTTTTTGCCTAAGCCAGGTATACAGAGCTCTCCAAATCTTCTTCGCTCAACCCCCTGATTTTTAAATGACACTTTGGTTTTTAGCGCAAGGAGATTGCTATTCCTGTATGATATGAACTACAATTCCTTGACCGACAAGCTAGCTTTCTCAGAAACGAAAACTACTTACGTTAAATGCTAGCGCAAAGGATTAGCCTGGATATATATCTTATATAGAATATATATCCATATATTTTACAAAAATTATTTGTGTCATTGTACATCGGGGTTTGTTTACTATTTGGCTTCGTTCAGACAAGAAGCCTTTCGCTCAGATTCCCGAGCAGGTCCGTACGAGCGGAGCCCCCCCCGAAATAACTTGAGGTTCGAAAAGGTGGGGCATTGGGCATTGGTGCATCATTTCATCATTTCATAAGTGCATCAATTCTCCATAAAAATTTTCGCCGGTGGTGCCTTTTCTGTGGTGTTTTACACAAATTCGAGCCTAACAAAAACTCGAGCCAAAAGTGGCGACCGGAGAGGGGGGAGAGGTCGCAAAACTTTTGACCTCCCGGGTAAAATTGCATTGCATATGATTGCGGGTCATCGAGCACTGTATTACGACCTTGAGTTCTTGCCGAAATTTTTCTGCCACTGCAAACTTGCTGGAATCATCGGGTGTCGGCTCTGCCGCATACGCCTAAATTTGTCGTGGCCCTTTTTCGTAAAGAAGCAAAGATCGTAGTAAACTAAAAGTAAACCTTCATTGACGCCCGCAAAATCACTTCCGCCCGATGATCAAACACTTCGGGCTTTTTGACTTCATGGCTCTCCTAGAGGGTTTTGGCAACACTGCAGAAATTCACCAACCGCCCTCCACAACTCCTCGTAGCGAGACAGTGCCGCATTGCGCGCCCTCTCATACAGCAATTGTCGCCACCCCTACAATTGAACGCTAGGACCTCGAGTAACTCCGTCCATTTGTTTTGCTCAGGTGGCAGATATTGTTATTACTGGATACTTCTAAGCCATATGTCGAGATATCGATCAGACCGGCTAATTAACCCCGGCAAAGGCATCCATTTCGAGAAAGATTTTAACCCATAGAAGGGCTTCGGACGGAACAAACATACATCGAAAAAGCTGCCAATCCTGTTCTTCGCCTTGCTACGACTTTTTTCGAAGATTTCCTAAGAACTTCAATATTGTTGCGTTTTGTTAATACCTTGGCACATTCTCTGAAAGAAGGCCCATCGAGGGGCTGTCCTAGGATGCATTTTGGACGGAGCTGTGCAATCACGAAGTCGGTTACCCCGGAAAGACACGTCAGGAATTGACGACCACACTCTGAATGGTCGATATTTGTGAAGGTCATTTTATCGTCTTGTGTTAATATACAAACAATACCTTTAGCAAAAATGTCGATATCCTTGTTGCGTACAACTACTTCGGGAGGAGGCACAAGGTATGTATCGGCACGGTCGAAGGCATTGAAAACGCCATCGATAAGCCCCAGCAATGCAGGAGAGTTAAGGGCTCCATCTCGAATGTTTGACAAGAAATCGGGGCTCAATCCAGTGTTTAACATGGCGTCCCGGATCAAGAAAATGATATGCTGAAAAACGTTGTAGGTGGTAAACCAGTCATTAACCTGGTTAACCGAAGTGCCGGTCATTCCGCTGTAGTTGATGAAGGTGCTTAAGCTATCGAAATCGGTCGCGTCCAGCTTTGAGCTTACGTTGAAAATCTATGCGAACACTCGAAAATGTTGAAACCTATCTCATCTACCTGAATTGACGAAAGAAGCAATGATGTGGAGAAATAGTTGATTGACTCGTCAATTTCGGCTTGAGTGTCGAAGGTGCCCTGGGTGTCCATCAAGATAACCGCAATCTATCCACGAGACCGATCACTTAGCATTGTATGGATACCTCTTTATTGTCTTCGTAGGTCGCCTTGAACACCTCTGGCCAAACAAGAAGTCCCTTATTATGTGGAACGTAACCTCCTTTGAAGGGTACGCCATGGTATCCACTTAAAGATTGAGCTAACGCGCACGTTCTGTGAGCCTGCGGAGCGATCGACATCGCCCGTATTTGCCCCTTTAATCCAGCCTCAAAAACCAACCCGATCAGCTCATCATCACCAAAATGTGACGATCCCGTGCGCAGTTTTTTTAACAAGAAGTTTTGAAAAAAAGTTTTTCCATAACGTGATTTCCCGGCCGTCGAAATTAAGCCAACCTAAAAATAAATAATAACTTTGGCATTCTTAGCCTTCAATCTAAATTAACGTTGTCCTTACCGGCCGCGGCCCGATCTGCTCGCACAGGTTGTCCAATAATACTAGATTCTCGTACGCTTCTCCGTCAACAATTTCATAAAGAATTTGCATCGCAGTCGCGGCCTAAATGCTATGTCTCGGGATATCTCAACGACGCCGACTCCGAATCCATTCTGCACATTAGCGAGGTCCGGGGCAACTACCGAGGATGGTGTCGGAGATGACATGAGCAAGCCGACTGCCTATGCCTGAAATATATAGCATCACTGCTTCAAGCGATAGCCTCCTTGTTAAACAAGCGCTTCTGAAATACGTAAAAGACGCACGGGGGTTTGGGTGGAGTTAGGCTCCCAATCGCAAACCTGTTTAGTGTAAATACAGTATAGTGTGGAGTTGAGCCTAACAAGGGAATTGTTTTTGACCCAGGTTGCAAATCGCTATGTAATATCATCAATCGCTAGAGAATTAAAATAAATGTGAGGCTTAAATATAGTTTTTGCGGAACTCCCCTCCTTAAAAAGTTATTTAGGTTCTATATTTATGCTCTATCAAATGAGCCACTACACTCAAAAATTTTGGCAATTCGGAAACATCGAAAAATTTGACAATACTTGCGATCGTTATTGCGTCTGTCATTTATATATCAGCACGATATGAATTATGAAGCAACAAGCATTTAGGCTGGAGAGCAAGGCGTGATGCAAGAATGGGCCGGTCCTATTTTCAAACCGTTTCAGAATGTTGCAAGAAAACTAGATTTACCGTAAACTGTAGGGCCCGCGGAGCCTTATCGCAACGGTTATGGCGACCGGCAAAAAACCTAATCACTTGTGCGCACCACGTTTTCAGCAGGGCACTTGAAAGCAGGGGCCAAAGCCCAAAAATAATAGGCGAAACTGCGGCGCAACGACTCTTATCGAGGCTCGAATTCCCCGTTGGCGCCGGCAAATCGCCTATTTTCAATTAATTTAGGCTGCGACGTGGGCCTCTTCCCCGTTTTCTACTGATTACGCTAAAAACGCGCCGCACGGTCTTGTTCCATTACCGAACCCGGCTGGATACGGCTAGAATTAGCATTTACTTGCAGCAGATGTGTAGTTTAGCGCGTGCTTCGACCGTTTCAGAAAATCGCGCACATCGTCGACTGGCACAACCGCATAACTGCAGGCCACAATTCAGCAATTCTGATTTCCTTTTCAGCATTCCCACCTCATTCATACATTTGGGTGTTTTTAGATGCATCCCGCTAGCACCCTACTATATATAAAAAAATAGTATCTGTGTGTGTTTGTGTGTGTGTGTTCCACTTTGCATCCACTTCCGTCTGTCTGTCCGGAGGATATCTCCAGGAGGGACGGGTGTTAGGCTACGTATGATACGGGATTAGATGCGTAATGGTCAAGGGATGACTGCACACATTCAGATTTTTAAAAATTAGCCATTTTCTTTAGGTTTAGGTTTAGGTTTCTATCTAAAAATTAAATTTAGGTTTTTTGTAAAAATCTCTTTGTTAGGAATAATTAGCATAGACCGGAAGTGGACGGTCGTCTCTAGAAGGGGTTGTTTTTCATTTTTTTGTCTTCTGAATGAAGGAAAGTATGCAACGGGAAGAAAAGTATGGGGTCCGAGACGCTGCCAGGGTTCAAAAGTCGCGTAGCGGCTTTTCAACCCTGGTTTTCAGTTAAATTCTTTATGCATAACTCTTGTTTTTGGTAATCAGTAAGTCCATTTGACTGTGTTCAACCAAACTCCCTTTCAGGCCACCTCCCCTCTCTCACTTTCCTGAAATGCCACCCGAGCTGAATTATCTCCAGCTTGTCTCCTTTGAAGGAGGAAATATTCTGTTGAATGAGGATAGCGCCCGGAAGACGTTTGCAAATGAGAGATACCGGGACAAAAAGGTACGAGCACTGCCTGTAGCCTTCGAGTGAATCATCAGGTCACATTTGTCAGCATCATTGGCCCTTCAAGGAGCGGCAAGAGTTTCTTGGTGGCCTACATGACCAGGTATGCTGTCCAAAATATTTCTTGAAATGCGTGTGAGGGCCAGTAATAAGTTGAATCCCGCACACTGACCGATCGAAGAGAGAGAGAGAGAGAGAGAGAGAGAGAGAGAGAGAGGGCTAATAAGAGAAACGGGTCGGACGAGTCCAACTAAGATAATATGTGCGCTATTATAGCAAACATGAAATCCGTGGCCGCTTCAAAAGCGGCTATGACCGCGACACGGAAGGAATTCAAATTTGCGAGCATCCGATGGAACTGGAAGATGGGGTAAGTGACTTTTATCCTGTATTTTGAATTACATTTAGACTTTCATGTTTTTTTTGGATACTCAAGGGACCTTTGACTTGCAAACCGAGCTGTTCGTCGCCGATTGGATCATGGCTTTCAGCTTGCTAATCGCTGGCATTCAGGTAAATTGGACCAATGGACAGAAAGTAACGTCCTTTGGAACGTCCTATTTGATTAGAGACCAGTGTGCCGCTGTTTTTCCTCAAATTATAGATTTTTTAAATTAGATTATCAACCTGCGCATTAACCTTGATGGTGATAACTTGCGCATTGTTCATCGAGCAGTTGAAACAGCAAATTTGATGAAAACTGCTGCGTCCGGCGAGGTATGATCTACACACAGGGCGCTTGATAGGCAATATTTGCATTTTGAATAACGGATTTAGAAGCTGCTATTTTTGATTCGTGACGCTGCCTGCCCGGACATGCCACCTGCAGAATTTCTGGAGCGCGTTTGGGTATGAAAAAGTACTTCTAGCAGCCGTTTGTTGCAGGAAAGTGCCAAGTCCTCCAGCGAACTGACCGAAGCGCAAAATTCTTTGCGTGCACGCTATGAAATTAGCTGCATTCTATCTGCAGCCCCGTCGGAAAATATACGGTTGAGTAGCGGCGAAGCTACAATCGGGACGGGTGAGTAACTGGAGTTGGTTACGGTCCGCGTAGTTCACCCCACGCCACGAGTTCGACATCTGTTTCCATTGTTTTTTTTATTTTCCGCTATGGTTCTCGACTCAAATAAACTAGTTTCTATTCTACGGAACAAGGGCGTTTTTTTCGTAGAATCAGCGTTGCTGTAGCTCATGCTGGAGCCGGGATAAAAGCTCGATTTCCTAAAATTTAGTGAGGTTCTTCTTTATTTCGAAAAATATACTGAGGGATTTGGTCTTAGCTCAAAATATTGTAATATAAAACATTTAGTGTTTTGAAACTCGGGTTCTATGCTAGTTTTTTGAAGATCGATAGACCACTAATGGATAGAGCATCAAAAAATAGACTAAGAGTTTTAATGTAGAATAGTTATAGCAAAAACAAGATTGAACGCGGTTTCGGTACACATAGGATAACGGGGGGGGCACACAAACTTTCCTATCCTATAAGCGAGAAAAGTATGTTTGTTTTCTGTAATGACGATTTCTCGGCCGTCAGGCCGAATTTCGCGCTGATTTTTGGCATGGAGGCGGAGAAATGCATTTGCCAAACACGCATTTTTTTGTTTTACGAAATTCTTTGATTTAACAATTTTACAAGCAAAATAGTAAAAATCCTTAACAAAATTGGCGACGAGCCGTGGTGTTCGGGGCATAACTCGATTCGCATTTGGAATTTCGGGCTGAAATTTGGACCAGTTATGTATTCGATCGTGGGGATCACGCGCATCTTATTATCTTTGCAAATTTTCTGCAGATTCAGACTCAAAAACTTAATTTTGTAAAGTGACCAGAAGGCTTCCCTCCCGGGGCATTGGGTCGGCCTTTCTGTGCCTCCCGGCCCCCTATTTCCCCGGAACAGAAGAGAGCTTTCCCGCCGCCTGTTCCCATCTACCCCGTGGTGTAGTGGATTTACGGCCGGCCTACCACGCCTTTAGTCGTGGGTTCGGATCCTGAGCAAATCCAACTTTTTGCTTTTTGGTAGTTTAGCAACTAACCATATTTCTAGGCTCTCGGTGTGCGAGGTTTAGGCCTGGCCCTCGCTCTAGCACCGCAGGCCTAAGAAAAGGCCCTTGACCCAGGCTCTCGCGCCGCAGGCCAAATCCCGGAGAAAAACCAGTAACTAGCGCCGCAGGCTCAAAGGTTTTAGCGGAACGCTGGCTCTAGCGCCGCAGGCCAAAGAATGGCGCCATTACTCAGGTTCTTGCGCCGCAGGCTAAAAGAAGAAGGTATTCAAATTCATGATTCCTGGACGGGGTCCAGTGGAAAATGGCCGCGAAGCGGTCTTTTTCCACTGGTTTATATGATAAAAGTATTTATAAATATGCTTTTTCGGGCTGTAGAAAAAGCTCTTAATATATTTTTCGGTCCTCTATCGAATTGCATTTTCAAAATATCGAAAATATTCAAAACTCCGAAAATTTGCTTCCCCCCATTATCCTATGTGCTGCCCATAGTTTTCAAAAATAGTTTTTAGGCTATAAAACTTTTATAATACATTTTTCGCGTTGTAAAAAAAACTCTTAGTATATTTTTTGATGTTCTATCGATTCGCGTTTTCAAAATATCGAAAATCTCAAAATTTTGGTTCCCCCCCGTTATCCTATGTGCTGCCCATGAATTTTGATCAAGTTTTGTTTATTCGATAAAAAATTTCATTTACATTATTTCGGGCTGAAATTAATTCTCCTAGGGCAGTTTTCGACGCTTTATCGAATGACGTTTTCAAAATACCGAAAATTTGAAAATTTGAAAATTTGACTTCCCCTTCCCCCCGTTATCCTATGTGCTGCCCATAGATTTTCCTCAATTTTTGTTTATTCGATAAAAAATTTCCATTACATTATTTTGGGCTCAAATTAATTTTCTCAGTATATTTTTTGACGTTCTATCGAATGGCACTCGCAAAATCCTACAGTAATTGCAAATTTCATAATAATGAATGCTCCCCCGTTATTCTATTCCCCCCCCGTTATCCTACGTGTACCCGTGGTTTCCCGCATGGGAACATTGAGGAAGAAGTTTTCGACATTTTCGGCATTTCGCCATTTTTACAAACCTTCTTAAATCCCATTCAAACGAGCTACAAAAATATACTTAGAATTGCAATTAAAACTCAGAATAACGTATTACAGATAGCTATAGCAAAAAGATGGAGCCAACTGCAACCCCCCCCACAGTTTTCCCCCAGTAAATAGAACAGTACCTTTAGCGATCTGGGTGCTAATGCAGGGAATCTTTCAGAATCTCGCATTTTCATAATCTCACATTTTCATAATCTTGCATTATCATAATCTCGCATTTTCGGAATCTCGCATTTTCAGAATTTCGCATTTTCAGAATCTCGCATTTTCAGAATCTCGCATTGTCATAATCTCGCAATTTCAGTCTCGCAACTTTTCCAAGGGCTTTCCAAGAGTTCCAAGAATTCGATGAATGATGATTGATCACAGAGTAGGCGGATCCCAACAAATTAATCGAATGTCTGGGCCACTAATTTAAAGAATTCGAGATGGTCATATGCGTCGTACGCCTTGTCGAGGCCACGCTGGGCTTGGTAATCGATGGCAATGGGTGTCTGCTACATGCCCTGTTGCTGCGCCTCGATTAGACGGTTGTCGTGCGTTCCTGGATACCGCCCAACATTTCCAGAAACTTCCAATTCCGAGGCTCTGCTAGTTGTAGTTAGTAGAAATGCAGCTAGTCTATGGGAATTGCGAAATTATGAACATGCGAGATTCTGAAGATGCGAGATTCTGAAAATGCGAGATTATGAAAATGCGAGATTCTGATACCAAATCGCTAATGCACTTGGGGGCGGTCCGGATTTTGACTACAGGACGCCCCAATTGCTGTTTTTTAAACTCAACGCTTTTGGAAAAACCAAGCTAAGCCTAAGCCTAGGCTCAGTTTCATACAAACAAAGCCTGAGCTTAGCTAGAGACAATCTAAGCTTGGCTTTAAGCTAACCCCTAAATGGCCCGATCTTAATTTGAAGCTAAAGATAAGCTTAGGCTTAGGCTTGAGCCTAAACCTAAGCTAGGTATAGTTAAAGCTAAAGTTAAGCCAAGGCTTATGTTAAAACCCAGGTAGTTTAAGCGGGGCGCCTCGTAGCCCTTTACTACCCCCTAACTTCAATAGCATCGCGGTTTCCCTATGTTGTTTCCTGAACTCGAATATACATGATTTGTCTCTATAGAAGCCGTTGATTCTGCCTTCGCCCACAAGCTTGCGGCTGTGAAGGACTACTTGATTCAAAATGCCGCCCATTCCTCTTCCAGACGTTGCACAGATTGGGGATACTGGCAGGTACTGTAGAGTAAGCACATGAAGAATTGTCAAATACCGTCAAGAAAAAAAGGCATCTCTAAGAAAATACTTGGTTCTCATTCTCATAACACAATTCACAATTTATCCACAATTTTTCCAAAGTCGAGCCTTTTAGGAAATCGCATCCTTTCTCAAGGCCGTGCCACCAAAGTATGCTAGCCAGTCTGCAGTAACGCAAAATATGCGGATGTGCAAAGTGATCGAAAGCGCTTTCGCTAGCCTCGACATGAGTTTCCGGGTTTTTCGATCCCCAAATTCCAATTTCCGATTAGGGAGCCAATATGGAAAACTTCAAGGAAATGTGGGCCTGTTACAAGCGAACTTTGGTTGCCAACATCAAAAGGCGAAGTCTAGGGGCTCTGGAGGAAGAAACGGTCAAGCAAGCATTGGCGAAGTTGAAAGTAGGGCGTTGGAACAACTAAAAATTAAAGTTAAACTTAAAAATTGAATCTTTAATCTTCATAGTTGGAAGGCCAAAAGAAGTACAGACTACTTCAAAACGAAGAAGCATTGAACAAAAAAGAAGCCGAACGGAGGACAAAAATCGAAGAAGCTTATTTGGTCATTGGAAAAGTTGGTTGTTTTCCATTTGCTTAATTTATGGTTAGTCCGAACGGAAACGGTTCAGCGCTAAAACCCCTTGAGAGTATTCATTTTCAGCTGAATAATTTTGATGCAGCGATGAAGTTTTTGCATGAGCTACCAAAGTATGCGAAAGATGACGCAGCTACGGAGGCACGATTGAAGGTTGTTGTTTTTCGAATGATTTTCTTTTCGCAAAATTGCTCGGTTCCGCGCCAACGTGATCTAATGTAGCAGCATGATCATGATCACCCTGTCTAAAAAACTGGCTTGCTGCCCATCCGGTACCATACGATACCAGTTTAGTCAATAATCGAGAAACGGCTGGCCTTCCTGTTGAATCCCTGGTTAAATGCAGTGCTACAACAGCAGTGTTGGGCAGTGAAGAACCTCGTAGCTTCGGTATTTTTGGCTTATTACCGATATCCTATTGTCCAGACGGACGTAATCCTTTTGGATGAGTTAAAAAAGGACCCCGGATCGGTCTTGGAAAAGGAATTCGAGCTTTTTCAACAAAAACTGGCTGAGGCCAGCCGACTGGTGCCCGTGGAAGCTGATGTTGCGAATTCGATGATCGTTAGGGCCCGGAAAGAAATCAAGGTGGACCTTACCCATTACCGTAAAAATTATGTTCTTTATTTCCAGAAGGCCTTCGAAACGGCCGTGAAGGAACGCCAAGAAATCCTCGAGAAACTGGGCTTGTCTAACCAGCCAGTGGGGGGCAACAAGATAGAACAAAATGAAAACAGTGCCGAATCAAGTCAAAACAGGACCGAAGGAAGCGCCCATTTAGATTCGACGCAACCTTCTCCTCCTCGCAGAGTTGAAGAATCGAAGGCAAAAATCGTTGTTGATGTTCCAGCTCCAGACGACTTACCGACGCATCGCACAAAAGCTTCAAAAAAGGAAGATGCGCGACAGGATACTTCTAGCCACCTGAAAAACTTTAAAAAATCCAAGCGACGAATCGCTTATGAGAGGAACTCAAGAGACGTTGTATATGACTCTGCTGAGCTAGCGCCTAAGGAGATTGTCGGAAGATCAAAAATGGCGGACGATCGAGAGCCTCTTGAATGGAAGACCAACTTGATTCGAACGGTGGAACAATACGAACCCTCGTATATGATGCCGCAAACGGGGTTCTTAAACAATGAAAATCGCAAGCTTGGCTCCGTAAGTGCATCACAATTGCACAAAAATTCAGTGCCCATCGCACCAAGCGGCCTCCAAAGTGTTGAGCCAGGAAGTGAATTACATGAACATATCAAGGATCGAGCTAGCTATTTGAAGAGAGAAGCGACACCGCCTAAGCAGCCGGTCTTGGTTCGTAAACCAATCGCGGAAGAGTCGCCTTTACTGGGACATGTATCCAAACATCAGCCCGATTATAACATAACAAACCAAGCTACGCTCAAGCCCAGTTTTAGCAAGCCAAGCCAACAAGTAAAAAAGATTATCTCAGAACACTGCAATTCCAGAGAGTCACGAAAATCATCTCAACGAATTTCAAGAGACGGCATTTTGTATGAAAACCATGACCCAGCCAAGAAGAATTCAATTCCACGTTTACCACCCAACCCGTGTGGGCAAATCGAGGCGTCGCTCGGTTATATCACAGATCAAGAGCAGCTAGCCCCTGCCGTCCAGGTCAATCGACCACCTCCCGCTTTGAACAATAGCACAGTAGAAAGAAGCGAGAACTTTATTTCCGAAGCAGCGCTTTTGGAACCGGTGGACCCGCAAAGCCCCACAGCCCACCAAGTCGAAGTTCAAGCGGCCCAGGCTGAGGAGCGGCGGCTAAGAAACGAGAAAAAGGAACGGGAGCTCAGGGATCAACTGGAAAAGGCGGATATGGAACGCTTTCTCTTTGATTGTAAACAATGTTCCGCGGTAAGTTTTATGGGGCTTATTGGCGGCAAATATAGACCCTCGTTAAAAAATGTTTCAATTCAACCGGGATTTCGGCATTAACATATGAACATTACCTATTAAGGACACAGAACACCATTAAAATTTTCCGAATGTTTATAGACTTACCCGTAAACATTACTGTAGGCCAAATCATCTTAATGTTTCAGCGATTTCATGACGATCTGGACTTAAGCAATGTGAACCTTCGGAATGAAAAACTAAGGCGAAATCTTTTACTTGCTATCAATTTGACCCCCCCCTACACAAATACGATCAACGGACATCAAAACTGAGAACTCAGAAAGCCATGGAGAGCTACTTCGCTGCAACACACAAAGACTTGGTAAACTAAAAAAAGGCATGAACTGACCAGGAAAGCGTTTTCAGAATGGAGTAGTTTAGTCTTTCACTTACAAGCAGTGCTCTTTTTGTTTCATCGGCAAGGCCTTTCGCGACCTAGCTCATATAGAATTGAATTCTTAAAAAGCTCTCGCTATTTATTTTTTACGAAATGGCCATCTCTGATTTTATAAAAGTATTTTGCAACCTTGACCTAACGAACTTTTTTGCCCTTCAATCAAAAGTTGGAAACTCGCATCAACAATTCGTTTTGCTTGTTGGATCTGGAAAGGGCTGGGTTCGTAGGTCAACGATCCTTTTATTTGAAGCGGGAGTAATCGAAATGTCTTTTGTGAAAAATCATATGTTTTTGAAAACTAGGCGCCAAAAAAGAGTCTGGTTGGTACAAGTCTTTCTCGGCTCTTCCTTAAAAATGCAGATGAAACGGCTACAAGGGGTTTCAAACGTAACCTTGTGCACCTAGCACCCTTAATAACCTTTCGAACTTTTGATTGAATCGCCAAAAGTACGGTATGCCGTGTTGTTAGTCATTACGCCACTCTTACTGGTGGTGTTGAGAGGCCCATGCGACTCTTCCCCCGGGGGTAGATTTGGGAGTATCGAGAGTATGAGAGTAACGAGCATCGAGGTCCAAAAATTATGTTTTGAGTTTTTTAATTTTATAAAATTGGAGTCAGCGATTCCGCAAAAATGAACATCGAGAGCTTGTTCAGAATGCAATTTTCTATCGAATGAGCTAGATCATGAAAGGTTTTGCCAATGACATCAAAAGGGCACTCCTTGTTAGCAATCAATTTGCAGTATACTCGATCTGGAGAACACCTGGAGACTTACGACATAATCTTCCAGCAGCGTGAAGAATATCAAAGACGGGCCGTGAATAACTTTGCGACAAGCACGGAAATTAAGTGTTTGAGGCTGCAGTTCCAGACTGCAATTAGTCTTTTTATGGTATGCTTACCCCGTCGCATATGACGATATAGTGACAGGTCCTTTGTCGCGATTATAACCTTCCGTTCCGCATCGAACTATCATTTCTACGCGATTTCGAGCAATATTGCTGCGTGCACTTTAAGCGCCACTTCAACGAAGACCTGTATCTTGTGAGTGTGAAACCATTACCACATTTTTTCTAGCCATTTTTTCACAACCTAAACCTGGCAACGAGCGACGGCCGAACACATTGGTCATTAAACCCGTTAACTTGGTTTGCAAGCCTTTGGGCGGCAAATTGCGGGCCGTTAGAAAATGAGGATGGCGGGGTCTTGAACTCGACGGTAACCGATGTTTTGCCAGCACCTACCGAAATATGAAATAGTCTTTATCATTAGCTTGAAACCAGCTTAACTGCCATGTATGCGCAGGAGAACCATGCAAAAACATCTTTTAGATGACGATCGATACCGCGAGAAAATGCATTGTCGACTCTTGCGTGCTTGGCGGTCAGTTGAAGAAAGAAGAAACTCTTGAATATTATTGGGCGGAAATTGATCACTATGTAAGTCTGATAGCCAAAAAAATTTCCGGGCCATATAAAAAATTTCGGAAATTTGAGCCTGAGGAGTAAAAGATGTTCAGGTCAAGAAATATCCGGAGCAATGGTCTTTTGACCATACCATCAACTGCAACCGGAACTTCATGACATTCTTCTACAATGTACTGAAGGGTTACACGCCCTCGCCTGAAAACTTTTGGGAACATCTACAAGCAGCTTCACTGGAGCGCTGGAAGCGCAAGGCCCAAGAGGTTAGCTTATCTTCACGAATCAGGATGCCCGCAAAGCTTGGCTGGAAAAATGATTGAAAGGCCATCCGCGAGTCATCCGAAAAGTCTATTCATATTGGCTTGGCGCAGTTTTTTCGACCGAATCTGAAAGAGCATAGTCGAATTAATAGGCTTGCATGGTTTGCGAATCCAAAAAAAATGTGCCAAGCCTTGTTCGGATGGAACGCAAATGGCCTTTTAAGAAGACCGTCTGTAGCGCTTCCTGGGATTATGCCTTAAATCTTTGCATGCACCTTAGCAAAACTGAGATTAAATTGTTGTTTTCCGACAGGCACAAGGCTAGATGTGCAACTTTCAGCTAGATCGGAATGCTGCAGGAAATGCAGCTTATGGCGAATATACTCGAGACTTCTTTGCCTATGTAAATCGATACTTCCCGAAACAAGATACACAAAAGGGATCCTCGTCCACTCACTTATAGAATAAACTATTAGGGGATTTCTATGCTTTTCTACCCTGCATTGAGACTTGCATGAAAACATTGTTACAAACCACTAACACATAATTCAAATAAAGCCATTCAAAATACGGACTTATTTACGTACCCGGGAGTGTAATTAGCAACAAGGCTTGATTTTCCCAACAATTTAGGTGCGATTGCTTTCCTTTCTTCTTCTTTTTTTTTTCTTTCCGAATCCGCTGCACCACGCTAACGCTATGGTAGAACCTTGCTGTCGTCTTTTAGAATTGCGTGTAGTTTAGATATTGCAGTATAGTAATTTATGGATGCACGATAATCAGTTTACTCGCTCGTGCGTGGTATACATTCAAGGGAGGTGAGAGTCCCCTTCACTGCCACTCCAGGCACCCCCCTCCCAACCGCGCATCACGCCAACTGCGGGCTACCTAGCAGACTTTGAAGAGAGCAAAAGTTCCGGGCTCCTTGAGTTTTAGGCCGCCACAGTATTCATTTCTAAAATCTTCTTAGATTTTAAATAGTTCTAGTGTTTTAAGTATCGAATTTGGCCCAGATACAGCTGAGGGCCTGGCTTTGGAGGTGACCGCAGAGGATGTCGAATTCCTGCACTTTGGGCGTACAAAAGCCTACAACGTACAGGGTTCAAATTTTTGCGCGTGTCGATTTTTGGCAGTTGGAGCGCTGGAAAATCAAGGAATAAAGGGCAGCCTGTAAGATCAGCTATTTGTGAAATTATTGTCTTTGGCATCTATAACCGATGCTAAAAATTTTCTAAATATTTTTACCGCCGTAATTTGCAAAAAGGTCTGGTGTCGTAAGGAGGTGGAGCCCTGCCTCCAGAATCGAAGTACGTTTTTACCAGCAAAAACCAGCCCGAACCATAAGCGAAATGAGTGATTCCCAGCGGGAAGTCGAACCCAAAAAGATGGTCGAAAAACTGTTAAAAGCGCATATAAAACAGTATTTTGGCTGTAACTCGAGAACCACTGCATCGATCGGGCTGTAACTCCGGATTTTTTTATTTTGGGTATCTGATCCAATTTTGGAACCGATAGGATGTAATACTGGGAAATGCCGGAGGGGTGCTTTTTTCGGGACCCCCTGTACATGGACTCAGAATCGATCGATCTCAAACCCGTTTTAAACCCTGCCAACTAGCTTCAGTTGAGAAGTTATATCGGTTTTTGCCCAAAATGACTGAACTTCATGCAAGAATTTTTCCTCCATTTCTGTGACCCTGTAAAGAAGTGCCGGATTTGGGTTCTTTTGAAAGAATATTTGTCTGGGCTGACGTGTAGATTGGACGTTCGCACCTTTCATCATACAACATGTGCGGTTTTGTGGCGCGTATCTGGGATGCCACGACTTGTGCCTGTAGCCTCCTTTTATCAGCATTCCCCAAATGCGCTTGCCTTGGTTTCGTTACAATCAGGCGACGTGGAATCTGTGGGCTTCACCCCAATCACATTTTTCGCTGCAACAAAACGCATTGTGGGCCCAAGGAGAAGCATCAAACAAATTTAGGGTAAAATGAGGACCAACGAAAAAAACTGAATAGGAGCATGTGTCAAAGTTCGTTGAAAAAAAGCTAGCGCCAGGAATCGAGATTAGGAGTCGCGAGGAGCCGTAGGTGAGTATGGAAAATTGGATGGGGACGGGGCAAGATCGTGCAGATTTTGTGCTGAGCCAAAATACGTTCTCAATCTTTGCCAACTCGCTCGATTCAAGAAGTTGTATCGGTATGAAATTAATTTCCGCCCAAAATGGCTGAACCGCAATCCGCATTATTTTGGAGCCCCCATTTGTGTGACCTTGTACAGAAACAAAACTTTATATATGTTTGTTTTCTGTCCGGGCGGTTTCTCGGCCGTAAGGCCGAATTTCCGGCTGATTTATACATATTGCACAAAGGCATGAGACCAGCATGCGATTGATAGGACACAAATAGTTCAGTCGTTGTCGTCGCTGTCGGCGCTGTCGCTTTGATCGCTGCTGAGATTCAACCCATTTCTGAGCCGAGAAAGAAGGCTCCCTAAAAGAATTAATTTTTGGCCGTTCACTTCCTTAATTTCTAGTTTTGAGCATTGAGCATTTGAGTAACCACACGGTACGTGTCAATTTCTGCCCGTAGCTATTAATCTCAATAGTAAGTTTAACTAAAGGTCCGATGCTTCGCATCAACCGCATCATCATGTACTCCCTTTCCCATGCCTCGTCCTCATTGGTGTAACCTATATTTCCCTTGAATTTACCAAGAATAGCAGAATTTGCTCATTATTTTAAGTCCATATTATAGGGGCACTTTCAGCAGCTTCGTTTTTCCACGAATCATGGGAAAATTTGCATGCGAAACGTCTGCCCCTCTCACCAGGGCGCGCGCTCGAACCCCGGAAATGCATGCATGCCAATTTTTCCAGGTTTCATGGAAAATCGGCGCTGCTGAAAGTGCGCCTTTGAAAGCCACGTGTTTGTACGGGTGACAACCATAACAACAACCTACCTTAAGATCACAATCGATATCACTACGAAGCGTATTGTCGACTCTTGCGTACTTGGAGGACAGTTAAAAAGAGAGCAAACACTTCAATATTATCGTTCGGAAATCGACCTCTATGTGAGTCCAATACCTCGTTGAAATCCCCAGGCTCTGGAGTGGCAACCCATCTGGGAGAAACTCGGCACTTCAAGCTAACAACGGAGATTAGAAATTCAAAACGCACGTGGCGCATTTCACTTTCGGTCTAGAAATTTGTGAGCTTTGTTCTCTTGGCTCTAAACAATTTTTGCCACGCTGAAAAAAATAAGCCTCCAGCTCACGACGCAAATTTTAAAAAAAGAACGTTCAGATCACGAAATATCCGGAGAAATAGCCGTTTGACCATACGATTCGTTGCAACTTGGAATTCATGACAGTCTTCTACAATGCCCTGAAAGGGCACACGGCGCGTCAAGAAAATTTTTGGGAACATCTACAAGCGGCTTCACTGGAGCGCTGGAAGTGCAAGGCGCTAGACGTTAGTTTGACTTTTTTGCTTGTACATACTTGAGAGGTACTTTCAAGCACTTTGGGTGGTAACCCCTTGGAATCACGATCTTGGTGCCTAGTGAAAAGCCTGCTTCGAGTCATAGGTCTCCAAAAACCACTTTTCTGCAGCGCGCTGGAGTTATCCTTTTCAATATGCGATATAGGCCGAGGAAATTTTTAGATAGGTCTGAATGGAAACGGAAATGCAACTAGTGGATATGCACGGGATTTATTCGACTATGTTAACCGATACTTCCCGATGCCGAATACACAAATCTTAGCTGCGTCATCCTATTCATAAAAGCAGCGGTTGCGGAATTCCTATGATATTTGGCTCTATATGCGTACATATTTCATAGTTTTTGCATGACACGGCACTGCGGACGTTAACAATATAGATCCAAGGAATTACCTGTTCAAACAAACACAGACTACGCACGAGCTGAATTCTTTAGGGTTCTTTGCGTCTCTTCGCAAAATCCGGGCGGAACTTCAGAGTATCAACTAGAATACAATAGCGGGTCAATTTTCGGGGCTCCCAAACCATTGCGCATAAAAATCATAGTTATAGCAAGAAAGTTCAGGCAGCGACGGATATTTGTATTAAACAATTTATATATTGACCACAAAGAGGTAAAAATAATTATTACTTGAAGGAATGCAAGGATTAGAGTGATACCCGAAATTTTTCATATCGGATCCTTATCGAAACGAGTTGCTGGTTATTATCGAAATCATTTTTAACTAGTAGGCACATCCATTATTTTTTTAAAGCGGTTAGATTTTGGCAAAGTTGTATTGTTCGTGGAGGGTTATTGGCTGGTGTCCGCATTGTCCACCCACCGGGTATGCGTAGCACCTAAAACCGGTTGATATCATCATTAAACAAATCCTTCCTAGCGCGTTTTGCCGTTTTCTACCTGGGCGCGAGGAATGTCGTAGGCGCGCAGCGACCTTGTATTGCTGCAACCACACATCGTCTTCTTTCGTATATTTCTTAGCGTTCTCCAAGTAGTCCTCGATATCGAACTAAAAGCCTTTTGCGAATTTCTCTCGTTGCCGCTTACGGTTAGTTCGATTGGTGCGTCCTCTCGGGTAATTTTGATCGTATCCGAAGTGCCGGTGCACAGGTCCTCAGCAGTCAGTGTCATGATGCCGTCACAGTCGACTTCCAAGGTGACCCTGACCTGAAATTTCTGATTCCAAAGCTTAAGGAAAGTATGGTTGTTCTGCTCAAAAACATAAAGCCAACTTTGACTTTCCAGGCCGGCGCCTTTCGAATTGGCAGCGTAAATTTGCCGAGCAACGTGTTGTGTTGGTATTGCGCACGCTCGCCGGCGTAAAGCTAAAAGGTAGTTAATACTGAGTATCTGCCTTAGCCAGGATGAATCTCCGGCATTAGAATGGCTCACATCAATCAGTAGCTCCTCCTGGTCATCACAAGAATTTGTGAAAATGTTGGCGACCGTCGCGGGTATTTTGGTATTTCGTGGCAAGAGGATGCAGTTTTTCCCGCCCCAGGTTGAGGTTCCTAGCGTCAAGGGATGGACATCAACAAAGCTGATGTCGCGAATCGCCGCGTACTCACTTCCTCCGAGCTTTGCTGCCTGGAAAGACTCGAATTTGAAAGTGTTTTGTTGACTCTGGTGTAGACACAATCACCCTGCCTACGCAAACCCAAGCAGGCTTTACCTATGCTCACTCTTTTCCAATTTCCCTACAGTCAGCCGCATGTTCTAAACGGTCAAAAAAATTGCCATGCAAACCTGTAGAGCAGCTCCATGGGCGACAGCTTCTTCAGGATTTATTGACGTGTTCAAATTTTCGAAACCATAGCGTTCCATGAGTTTTTGTCGCACCATCGGAATATGGCTCGAACCCCCAATCATCAGCACGTCATCGATCTGAAAGTGGTTATAACTTTTTAGTGAAGAAGGGTTTAACCTCGGCAGGCTTCAGCTTTGCATCCTTCAGTGCTTGCTCCACCGGAAGCATAGCGTTCTTGAATAGTTTCTCGTTGATTTCTTCAAACGTTGCCCGCGTGATTGTCGTCGTGTAATCAAAGTCGAGGAACAGCGATGGTACCGAGATTTCAGCCTGCAATATTATAATATTCTTGTACAATATTGCAACATTGAGACAGCAGAAATGGGTGGTCTGTAAATTAGCGGCAAAAGCTACCTTGTTCGCAGTCGACAGCTTGATCTTGGCGCGCTCGGATTCTAACCGCAGCCTGGCCAGTGGTCGCAGCTCGTCCTCAAGGTCTTTCCCATGGTTTTCCTCCAAGTCTTTGATCAGATACTCCAAAACCTTATTGTTGATATCTTCGCCGCCAAGTTGCGAATTTCCGCTTGTTGCTTTAACCTCGAACTTTGTACCCGTGATCTCAACAATCGAGACGTCTAGGGTGCCACCACCAAAATCATAGACGAGCACAGTGCGTTTGTTATCGATGGTTCTCCCCAGGCCAAAAGCAAGAGCAGCGGCCGTCGGTTCGTTCAATAGTCGGAGGACCTCAAGTCCAGCGTTTTGTGCAGCTTCTTTCGTTGCTTTTCGCTGTGCATCATTGAAATAGGCGGGTACCGTGATGACAGCCTTCGTCACTTCACGGCCGAGATAATCCGTGGCCATTTTCTGCAATACCTCATGAAAGTTTGCCAAACGAAACTACTTGGAATTTTGCCAATAACATTGTTGAGATTTCGATGGGTGTGTAGTGCTGGATTTCCTCATCATTGACGACTTTGATGACTGGCATCCCATCAATACTCAGCACCTCAAAAGGCCAGTGCTTGAGACTCCTTTTCACGTGTCGATCGGCGTAGGATCTGCCCAGCAGACGCTTCGGTTCTGAACGGCAAGCTGACTCAATTAGTGTGCAAATACCATATATTGTATTTCCCGCATTCCTAGTAGCTTGGTTTTTCGCGGCATCTCCGACCAAGGTTCTGCCATCGACGAAAGCGACCTGGGATGGTGTTGTACGATTGCCTGAAAGTTTCTTTGGACCAAGTTTGGCTCTCGTATGTCAAGAAAGATATTGGCTTGCTAAAACTATAATCGGCTACCGTATTCGTTTGGCAAGATCACCGCTTCACCACCAATGCACACGGCAAAGACGGAACACGTCGTGCCCAAATCAATTCCGATTGCGGGCTCCGTATTTTCGAACCTAAGACGTAGCAAGATCCATGAAAATGAAAATATATCCTGGTGGTTTAAAGTTAGATTCCTACATTGCACGCGTGTCATTCTTCAGCTTGTTAGCTACAGCCTGTCGTGCCTCCGTTTGGATGCGCAGTCCTTCCGCGACTTTTCGGTCTTCCTCGGCCAGTATAGCCCGTCGTTCCGCTTCTTCTTGACGCCGCCGTTCACTTGACGATATCCGTTCTTTCGACAGTTGACGTTGAGCCGCTGGAACAGCTTTTTTCCCCACCTTACATAAGTACGGAATCGGACTCCTCCGAGCCCACGAATTTTCAAAAACCCCTATTATTGGAACTCACCCATTCGCTCCTCCCACTGTTGCCTTTCCTCCTCAAATCGCCGCTTTTCCTCAGCAATAAGTCGTAGCTTCTCCTCGGCTTGTCTGGCTTTGTTTTTGGCCTCAACTAAAGCTATTCCATTCTTTTCTGCCGTCTGTTCCGAGGCTAGCAATCTGTCGCTGGCGGCCTGCAGCATGCCGGCTTGCTCTTGAAGTTTCTCCTGCCATTCCCTAGATTCCTGCGCGCGCCGCTCAAGCTCCGCCTCACTTTCACGGATTTGGATCGAATTTAGCATAGCTTGGCGGAAGTCGGCTTCGCAACCCTAAAAAGAGTTGTTTCTTTTCCGAACAAAGCATTCAGCGGTAACGTGTTGACAACTTCAATTTTTAGAGGCTGCTTTATAGTATCGCAAGGGGCTTGCGAATAAAGTTAATACTCCAGGGTTCTCATGCGCTTACCACTATCGCCTTGGGCAGCCCAATCTCGCGGATCGCTTGAAAATGTCTCTGCGTTGCTTCGAGCGCCAGATGGGGATGTTCATGGTGGAAACTCCGAACAATCTCCTCCTCTTCCTCGGCCACCCACTGTTGAAAACGGGCCTTGGTTGTCAATATCGCGGCGTCAACATCCGACTGGGCCAGAACGTTTTCTTTTGCCTATGCGAGAAGATCATTGATTTTCATAGCTTTACAAAAAACCTCGTGAAGATATGCTTGGTATTGGTTAATCCCGCCCTGCACAAAAGACATAGCCTTCAGCCTGATCCAATTCAGGGCATTGCCATGCATGAGGTCGGTCAATTTGTTCTGGAGAACGGGGGTTAGCATGCGCAGATTGCGGAAATTTCAAACCTCCAATAGTTGGACCAGTCGATCACGGTTGGTGAGAACCTCGTCGTAATGTTCGTCGAGAAACGGTGTTGTTTCTGAAAAATCTATCGCTGATGGAATTTCTATTGTAAGCTTATTACCCTCCAATCTGTTTTTTCGCTTACCTTGGTCAAAAACCTCCAGCGCGGCCTTCTGCCCCAAAATGTGTCCATCATGTGCATCACCCCTAGTCTCGTCCCCAAGAAAATCACCGAGTGACGGCTGTAAATCACACTTTCAAAAACCTCCCGTTTGATCACTTACCTGCACGACCTCGTCATAGGCTTTCAGCCCGAGATCGACGGCTCCACCCAGCCTCTCCGTTTTGTACAGAATGGCGTTGGTCTGGATTCGTGCATCAGTCTTGCACTAAAAACGCAAACGATTCGCAGTTTCTATCCAACATTTTTTTCTTTCTCACATTTAGGTTCAGCATGAATTTCTCCTGTTCCACGTATTTTGTCGCATCGTCGGGGGTTGGTAGCTCTTCATAAGCCTGAATATCATGTTCTTGAGGGGAGGATACAGCGAGCCTCGGCAACGGTGCGTAACAATAATTTGTGCTAAGTTTTAACTTAAAAATGATGCTGTGTTAATTGACATCAGCCTCTCCAATCCCTTTAAAATCGAACCTGCATAGCTTCGCGGAGAATGGCTTCAGCTCGATCTTGAAAGACGTCAGGATGCTTGACGCCGTGGTTTTCCTGGAAGCCATCGATACACGCCTCAATAACTACGACTTACGGCCGCCCACAACTCTTCATATCTTTTGAGGCCCGCCTCACGGGCCCGACTTTGCCACATTTGGCGCCAGCCCTGGTATTTATTGTTATATTGGCTCAAACGCCCTACCTCAAAAAAGCTACCGATCTTGTTTTTGGCCCGAACACGGCCTTTCTCGAATATTTGCTGGAACGGAATTTCCAACAAAAAATGGGAAATACCAGAGCACAATCCCTAAATGAGGGTCCATCTAGCTGCTGGCCTAACACGCATTTTGGGCGCAGCTGACTCATCACATGCTGGGCTGCACCAGATAGGCAAGCCATAAATTCGCGTCCACAATCTGATAAAATGTAGCACCTCTTGCAAATGTTAAAAAGTACCTCTGGCGAAAACCTCGCCATTGCAGGTGCGCAACCCTGGATTTGGCGGTGGCACCAGATAAGTGGTTTGCTGCTCAAACGCGTCGACAACGCCTTCGACCAACCGCAGCAACTGGGGCGAGTTCAGTGCGCCATGGCGAATGTTGTTTAAGAAATCCGGCTCTAGCCCAGATCCTTCGAGGGCGTCACGGATCAGGAAAATTATATGCTGGAAAGCATGTCACTTTGTTCGCAGAGTGCTTACCTGGTTGATCGACGTGTTCGTGAGGCCGCTGTAGTTGATGAAAGTGCTCAGGCTATCAAAGTCGGTGGCATCAAGCTTCGAATTCGCGTTAAAAATCTAAGATCATGAGGTCAACCTGAAAAATGTTAATCACCTGAATCGAAGAGAGCAGTAAAGAGGTTGAGACGTAGTTTATAGATTCGTCGATCTCAGATTGGTTATCGAATGTCCCCTGCGTGTCCATCAGAATAACGGCGATCTGGATGAGCGTTAGCAGGTCGGGCTACCCCCTACCTCTTTATCACCATCGTAGGTCGCCGTGAAGACTTCGGGCCAGACGAGCAAACCGTGGGTGTGTGCATCAAAGCCACCTTTGAAGGGCAAGCCTTCGTAGCCCCTGAAAAAATGTACCCAGTTCTGGATGTGGTTAGGTTAGTGCATTCTACTTTTAAATCGCCACTCAAGTTCTATGCAATTTTTTAGATAATTTAGTAGGTCTGAAAAGTAAAAAACTAAGAAACTAAAAAAGCGTTTCGAATCTTTGACTAGATAAGACGAAATCATGAAAAATTATCAGGAATTCTCAATATTTGACCTTTTGAAATTGTTTTGCATACAGGTTTAGCAGCATTCACTTTGCATACACTATCAATAAGGTTAAAAAAAATCGGTTTTTTATGCCCTCCTGTATCATTAAAATCAAGAATTTATTTTTTTGTCTCCCGCTAACGGTGAAGCCCCAAGCAGTAATTACCCAATTATCTCATCTTCATGAAAGCACGGATTCCCGGTACGTAGTGCCCTCAGCAAGAAGTTTTGGAAGAACGTCTTCCCAAAGCGCGCTTTTCCCACCGTCGAGATTAGCGCCACCTTAACTCGATTGTAAATAACAAGGATGGAGCAAGGCTTTTTCTAAGTTTTCTCGTACCGGACGCAAGCCGATTTGCGTACAGAGATCATCCAAAATTCCGCGATTGGAGGTCACCTCACCGCCCACAATTTGGTACAACACTTGCATTTTGATGCGTGGCTAAAGAAATAATTCTATTGTCTTGAACAACTGACCTCAGCATTCCACGGAGCTTCAACATCTTCAAAGCCTATCTCCTCGAAGGGCTCGTCTTCCGAGGAATCCATCGCTTCGACCTAAACCCAGAGTTGTTTTAAAATATCTGAAGAGATCGGCAAAAGCCAATAATTAAAAATTTAAGTGGGATTAAGGAGATGCAAGCCACGCTCCTGAAATAAATGGTTGACCTAAAGTCTTGCACGAGGCAATCAGCTATCTCTATTTTGGAACAGGTAAATTTCTTGCACCAGAAATTATGCGGATAAAAGTCGGTGATAACATGTTGATATGAATTAAGTCCGAAGCGATAATTGCTAACAATATCTGCACCGCAACATCCCAAAACGTAGGCTTAGGCACAAACAGGGGATGCACAAGCTAATCCACCACAACACCAAGCAGGTTTTCGGGATCTACTAATGATTTGCCAAAAGCTTATTTGCTTCAAAACGCCTTTCCTGGAAAACGGCAAAACATTGGTATGCATGGTGTTCTTTACCTACTATAAGATTTTAACGCAAAATGTTTAACCTGGGGAAATAGTAGATAAAAATATGCTGTAAAATCCTGAGCAAGAATTTTCACCTTATCTAGAGCCTCCCGTTTCTCGCTCTCGGTTTTCGCCCGTTCGCCTACCCCAGCACATTGTGTGACGGCAAAGAATCCAAAGCCAGCCCCCATTTCTGGTGCAACAAAAACAGCATCGGCGTTACGGTTTTCTTACGTTACATCCCAAAACCATCATGTTATTTTCGTCATTTCCTCATTTTTTCCGCGGCTAGACGGTTTTTTGTTTGGTTATGTAAAAAACGTTTTCACTTGATCTACATTCTATTAGTAGTATAGTTTCAGGCATGCAACAGACCGGGTCATATCTGCAGCTGGTCTCCTTCGAGGGGGAACGAGTTTCCTTGAATTTTGAAGGTGCCAAGAGGACATTCGCGGACGAAAGATACCATGGAAGAAAGGTATCGTATGGGCCCAGAGTGTTTCATTTGAATTTTTAGATCACTCTGGCGAGTGTCATTGGTCCTTCACGGAGCGGAAAGAGCTTTTTGGTCGCCTATCTGACAAGGTATACAGCACCACTGAAAAATGGGACGGAGGCGAGAAACGTTTATAAAAATAGGAAGAGACCCTGCAAACGTTGCCAATTTAAGCCATTTCTTCCGGGAACTGTTAGGCGATGAGCATCTTCGCGGAAAGCTAGACTAAAAATAATTTCTTTAGCAATGGTCGCATCCAAGGCAACTTTAGCATCCAAGGCAACTTTCGAAGCGGCTTTGCCCGATACACTGAAGGCATCCAAATCTATGATATACCTATGGAGTTGCCGGATGGGGTTTGTTTTTCTGCTCTCTACAGGGTGTCCCAAAAAAAGCACCTCCCCCCTCTAGCGGCTCGCAGTCGTGTCCGATTTGCACCATTTAGGTATCTATCGAAAGCTCTCGCAAAGGCGAGAAAACAAGGAGGATTCATTTATTTTATTATGTATTTTTATTCGCGAGTTTCACCTTCAAAAACCCTGAAACCGGCAGATGTACGCTAGATCTGCATGCTAACTGCGAAATTCCTATTGAAAAGCTACCTGTTTTTTAGAAAAACGTTTAATATCGGAACAATGAGGATAAATCTTAGACAACGAAGCCCGCTTGTTTTCTCGGCTTTTCGCGGGCTTTCGACGGGTATAAAAATCATGCTGCTCTGAGTTTCCCCTGGACCGCTAGAGGGGGTGCTTTTTTTGGGACACCCAGTACTTAGCAAAGCAAGTGCCGATGTTTCTAAAATTAAAAGATAACCAAAGGTACTTTTCCATTTGAGGTTGAAAGGTGCGCTAGCACTAATGAACGGACGCTTTATAGACCCTCGTATTTTTCTTGGACACACAAGGAACCTTCGACTTGGAGACCAGTCAGATTGTGTCGGACTGGATCATGACATTTAGTTTGCTGATATCTGGGCTGCAGGTAGTGACTGATCTATTTTCTAATGTCGAGCGAAGGCGTGATTTATGCATTTTCAGTACATTCATCTGTATGTCTAGATAATCAACCTACGGATCAACATCGACGGTGATAACCTACGGACCGTGTATCGGGCTGTTGAAGCTGCTAATGCTATGAAGGAAAACGCCACTGGAAAGGTACTTACTTACCTTCTACCAACGAACTTGTCTTAACCCGTTGTCGGAAAGTATATAAATCAGGTTAAACCTCGTTAACAGCCGTGATGGTGGGCAGCCCTTATTATGCACCATTGTAGAAACTGCTCTTTCTGATTCGCGACTCCGCCCGGCCGGGCATGGACCCAGAATCATTTTTGAAGGAGCTTTGGGTTTGTAAACAAGGACTTGGCCAAAAATTTCATATAGGAGAAAGGCAGCAAGTCTGAGGAACTGTCAGCCGCGCAGCGGTCTCTAAAACAGCGCTATGAAATCGAGTGCGTCCTGGCCCCCGCACCACAGGAACATATCATGAGGTGCAGCGGCAGCTTGGTTGTATTAGGTCTGTTAAAGTGCGGGACCAATAATTGGAAATTAATTATAATTTTTTGATACTTGATAGCATTTTAGAAAGCGTTGACGGGCCTTTCACCCAAAAACTAGCCTCCGTCAAGGCGTACTTGATGAAGCATGCGCAGGAAGCTACGTCGATGCGTAGGATTGATTGGGGATACTGGGAGGTAGGGCTTCAGCGCTTCAACTTATCCCCCATTATTACATTGTTACATCTCCTTTAGGAAATTGCTGCCTTCCTCAACAATTCACTCCCTGTATACTCGAGCCGCGCCGAGGTCGCACAGCAGACGCAACTAAGCACAGTCATCGACAACGCCTGTGCAAGCGTCGATTTAAATTTCACGGTTCGGTTTATTTCTGCAAGTATAGCTCCTTTTAGGGTGCAACCCTTAAAAGCCTCGAATCCAGAATGCAACAGTACAAGAGCATCATGGAACGCAATATCAGAAATAAGAGGCTGGAGACATTGGAAGCCGAAGCGATTCAACAAGGAAACGAACTACTCGAGGTTTGTGACAAGATTTGAAAAAGAGAGTTCCATGGGACCTATCGACATGCATTTCCCACAAAATAGGTTTTCAGAAAGAGTATCAAAAGAAATTGCAAACGCTCAAAGAGGCTCAAGCACTTGCCGACACAGAAGCAAATCGGCGAAAACGCCTCCAGCAAGCACATGTGGATATTGGAAGGGTATCGTTGTGCCTTGTGTCCTACCACTCCCCTTTAAGCTGCATCGTTTTGACGATGCTGTAGGCTTCATGCACGGCCTTGACAAATATACGGATGGCGATTCGGTGTTAGAAAAACAGATCAACGTATCAATTTGGTTTACAACTGCAATCACTGTTTGACATTTAGTCAACCCTCGAAAAACGACTCACTTTGCTGTTAAAACCATTCCTCAGTGAAACCGTCAAACAGCAATGCTGGTCTTACCAGGGAATCATCATTTCGGTAATACAGTAGGCCTGGCTGCCCATACAATTTTTCTAGGCTGATGATGAAATGATCGAGGAGTATGCTAGCGACCCTACCATTCTCGTTGAAGAAGCGATGGCTGATTTCCGAAAAACATTTGATGAGGTAAAGCCGAGTGTCGCCGTCGATGAAGTAACCGAGATCGCGGTGATGTCCAACACACAAAAGGAGCTGATGGTAATGGTCATAAACTTACATTTATATATCGATACTGCCAGAACTTTTCAAAAATAATTTTCAGTGTGCTATCGAAGCAGCGATCCGGGAACGTCAGCAGAAAAATAAAAAAGCCAAGACGACAGCGAAGACCATTACCATTCCAACAAGCAGCCCAGTCGCGGCAGATCCCGAACCTGAATTTAATTTGGTGAAACGTACGCCGATCGAAATTTATTCTAGCGAAGAGGCTCAACTGAAAAGAAACCAAACGGAGGAAATTCGCGCCCCAGGAGAAGGCGCACCCCAGGTGGCAAAACGGGCAAGGCAAGAAGACCCGCTCATTTCTATATCAAAGCCCGATAAACTAAAAGTCGGTCGCGGCACCCCGGAAATTCCTTCAGACCCGGTTCAAAAAGACAATTGTGACGAAATCCGGAGTAAGCTTTCAAGCGCGGTGGAGTCCATAATCGATGCACCCGCCATGATCGAGCAGCCTTCAGAAAAAACTGACGAATGGCAGTTACTATCAATTCGCCAACCTCTGCTATTTCCTGCAGCTGGAGGTGATGTTGTTAAAACTCGCGACGGACTTCTAGCGCAAAGGTGTGAAAAAACAGTTATGGATATCCAGTCGGCTTCCCAAGAAGTCCTACCGCAATATCCTACCGAAAAGGAACAGTCTTCTTATTGGAAGACACAGAACCCTTCTGAGGTGGTAGAAAAATCGGATGCCGAGGATTGGACCCTGCTTAATGGGGCAACGACGGAAAAAGACCTCGACTTTGGCAACTTGAATGAGAAATCAGAGGTTGTGAAACCTATTCTTTCTTCTCTGCCGCAGGGATGCTCTGAAATTCGGCGAGTGCCAGCTCGAGTAGATCCACCGCCACACACCGGATCCGGGTTGAGTCAATCACTGAAGTCAACCGATTTCGGTATCAAGTTAATTCCGGAAACATCCGACTCGATGGCAAATGCTGGCCCAAATCACTCAAATGCCCAAATGGTCCCACAGGTTTCAAGCGACTTTGAATTTGTCGATTGGGGCAATCATGAACCGGGTAAAATCAAGCTAACGGACCCAAAAACGAGAAAAACCAACTATGAAGACACGGAAATCGCAGCCTTGGGATTGAATCCTCTTTGCGGTAATGGCCGACCGCATCGTCCACAGCAAGGATACAAAGATACAGAAAGGATGGCAACGAATTCGGACCATCCTCAAGGGCTACATGGAGTTACTGAAGACTTGCTCAGGCAGAAGGAGCTTGAAAGCCACGCCGCACTCAAGGTTCAGCTGCAAAAGTGCCAGGATGAAGCAAAAAGAGCCCGGGTCATTGACGATGAAATGCAAGAATTTTGTGCTCTGCGTAAACGATGTATTGAGGTTGGTTAACAAAGCTACGAAGTTTGTTTATGACCGCAAGATACAAGCGCCATTAAAGGTACAGTCCGCTCCCGTTTGAAGGGTCGAGGATCTTTGACAAATTGTGTTTTAGAATTCCGGGTTACGTTAGCTGCAAAAAGTCGGGAAAACCGAACCCCGGACGCTCGCCTGTGGCCAGCGCTTCAGACCACTCCGCCATGGGAGAGACCTGGAGGGGGGGCGATGGGATATGCGGAGTCGGAGGTCGCGGCCGCCGTAAAGCCGAATTCTTGCCGTCGACCTGGGGTTCTTAACGAGCGCGGAATGTACCTTTAATTGAATCCGATGGTAAAGAACATTTGCAGCCTTTGCAGCGCTTCCACGACGACCGATCATTGCTTTGGCCGTTGCGATGCGAGCAGTTGCGGCTCGACCTATGCAAGGCGGTGGATGCCCCAAGCGTTAATGGATTTTTCTACCCATCCGAGTTGGAAGAGCTGAAATGGAAGGAAGCATGTTCTACATATAAAGCGGCGACCGGGCGTGAGGACTTGGTTTGTATATCGTTCATTTTAGCAAAAGCAAGTTTTGACTTGTTACACTAACTTTTGTTGTTAAAGGCCGCATTGATCATGTTTTATTTCAAAGTCAAGAAAAAAATCAAGTTTTGAAAATTTTGCAGGCTTGTTTAACCGCCGTTGTCACTGTGGAGCATGCCCGTCAATTCTTAGCTCCTTTAGGATCAACCTGTGAAAATCTCCAGCTTACACAAGCGGCCAGCCGACTCGTTGGACTCGTTGAGTGCGGAGACTTTGAAGAAAATTCTCGACCGATACAGCCGATGTAGTGAGAAAGTACATAAGGCACTGAATGCCATGAATAACGCCGACAAATGCAGAAAGGCACTTCAATCTCAGATCCAAGGTTTCACGGTAAGTATCAAAAAATTAATACCAAAAAATTCAAATCACAGGACGACTGCCGAAAAAATACACTTCCGTTTCTCGAGGAGTATTCTTTTCTGCGTCACTTTGAGCTGCACTGTCAAGTGCCCTTCCAGAAAAAATTTCGTGACGAGGATCTATATCTGGTGAGCAAATGCAGATATTCTAAACGTTTTCTAGCCGGTCTATCGCCCAGTAAAAGATTCCGGACAGACGCGATCAAGCGGTGGTTTTTTGAGCATGATCGGTTGGAACAAAGTGTGTCTTACGTATTGCTCTAATAATAATTGAAAAAAGCCATAGCATTCAACTTTAACACGAGACTCAACGACTTTAGACCCCTGATGACCAACAAATGGCAGCGGACATTAAAAAATCCTGCCTGCGGAGAGGCCGACTCCAAAATTATGCCATGGAGTATCGAAAAACAGTCAGGATCTCCTTTGTAGGGCTTATTCATTTATGAGTTTATCAGCCGTGGTTTCAGATCGCCAAGTATCCAAAGCAATGGCCATTACTTTTCACTATGGAGTGCATCGATGGTTATAAGAACTTTTTCTTTGACACGCTAAAGGGTTACGCTGATGATCAGCCGGTCTTTTGGAACGACCTGCAAGCGATTACTTTGGAGGAGTGGCTAGAAAAAGCCAAACAGGTCCTCGGTTTTTTTTGTTAACAATCACTGACAGTTCAGCTAGGCGAAGTGAAGCCGTACACCAAACATCTGAAGCAAGGGGAGGAGAGCCCCTATACAAAGGCCATGATTCGCTATATCGAACGGGGCAACAACCAACCCATCGACGAGTCCGAATGGGTCATTGATATCTGAAATTCGCAGTGAATAAAGTATCGTTTCTTTCGAAAAATAAAGTATCTCCAGAAAATTTCCATGCTACCACAATAGCACTTGCCGACATGCGGAATAAAAAAGCTGTGCTTTTTTGTGGAAGTGATCGGTAGCATAAACTTCATACCAATTGCAAAACATCCTAAAACAAATAAATAATAGGTAAATCCAGACTTTTACAAAGAACCCTGTTATTCCCGGAATTTTCGCAACGAAATGAAATGAAATTAAATTTTCGGACAGTAAGACCGGGATCCACGATTATCACTGACGTAATTATATGTGTCTTATAACGACATTTCACATTTTCGCATTCCTCGCCCCTCTACCAATTTTAGGCTCAATAAAAATGTGGGAAAATAGGTGCGTCCTTTCTGGGCAGCCACAGAATTCTGGCCTGATAGCGAGCCATTTTGTGACGCTGGAAAATTGCAGCGGAGTGGCCCTGGTGAGGCGCAAACACAGCGATTCCCACATCTAACTGCCTACAACCCCTTGGATTTCCCCTGATATATGTGGCAAGAAAACGTTTCCGAAATAGTACCAACTACGCACAAAACGCGGAATTTATCAAACCTTTTAAACGCTGTTATTTTAGAGATTAGAAGCTGGTTTTTTTTACAAAGTTGTTCGCTCTCTCCACAAATGTTTTCTTTTTCCTTACCCAATGATATCATATATCAATATCATTTGACTCTAGCTCGATCAAAATGGAGTGGATTTACAAGCTTGTCGACGGCACTGCAATCTACAATCAGCAACTTCTCGAAGATGTTTGCAAACAAATCGGAAAGCGACCGGTGAGTTCAGGGAAATTAAACAATCAATCGTTCTTTTTCAATTCAGGTGGCCATCATTTCAACTGGTGGTAAATCTCGTTTTGGAAAGACATTCTGGCAGAATATTCTCCTGAAGGGCCTGAGAAGCGGAGATACAAAATTCGAAGCACAAGAATTGATTGGGTAAGAATAATATATGTCATCATTAAATTGTGATTCAGAGGTGCGGGTGGAATTCCCTTTCGAAAAGGATTCTCGAGGGATACTGTGGGGATTACCATCTGGCCGGAAGTGTTCACATGTATTGATGTGAATGGAGACGAGGCAAGGCTCTTAATCCGAGAAAATATTTGTTTTAGATAGCTGTAATCCTAATGGATACCCAGGGCACTTTTGACAATCAATCCGAGGTGGACGATTCGATCAATTATTTCTCCACTTCACTACTCCTTTCATCGATCCAGGTTAGGTTATTATGCAATTTCAATACAAATATTCTCAGGTTTTCAACGTCAACTCAAAAGTTGATGCGACTGATTTCGAATCTCTTGCTAGCTTCATCGAATTTAGCCAGGCGAGCGGAGAAAAAGTTGGCCAGGTACTAATACAGCATTTCTGGTTTGAATAAATATATTTATTCAGCACTTTATCTTTCTGATTCGAGACGCATTGGCAGGAGAAGGGCTATGTGAAGATTTTTTGGATAATATGCTGACGAGAGCCATGAATTCTCCTCAACTCTATCAGTTGATTTTTGGATGTATCAACGCGTTCGAGAAAATTGATACTTATCTGGTCGTTCCGCCGGAAAATGCTGTACGATCGGCCGATGGGCAGATCGAGGCTGGGCGTAAGTTTCTATCGGCTTTTTTGGTGAATGTCACGGACCCCCGAAGTCATCTTTGATTTCATCTGAAATTGTAGGATGCGGCGAAGAATTTCTGGCTTTGCTTTGCGGTGCTGCAAAACATGTCCTTGATTCGCTTCGCCCAAAAGTCGTGATGGGCGAGCTTCTTAATGGTGAAACCTATCTGCAATATGCAAAAGTTTGTATTTTGTGCATTTTTCGGAACGTAATACAAAACTCGGTACATTCACGATTTTAGGGCGTCTTCCACGAAATGCATTCCAAAAGTCGTTTCCAAATCGGCAATTTTTACAGTGTTTGTCATTACAGTAATTATTTGCATTTTCATTTAGTCGCTAAAACAACTTTCCGTCGATACCGCAAAAAGCACCGGAATGGATAAATTTCGCGAGTTGTGGAATAAGGTGAATTTGGATAGTGATTAGATGACAAGAGGCATTTGTAGGAAGAAGTGTTTGACATTTTGAAACCGGAAGAATTCGAGGCTGGCGCCATGAAGATTTTGCAGGAATCGATTCAGGTTTCAGAAAGCAGTAACAAAACTCGGGTTATTTTCAGGCCTATGAAAACACCCAGCGCCGTGGAAATGAAAAAGAATTGGCTGGAGATCTGAAGCTGTTCACCGAGAAGCTCTCGGTATTCTTCAAATCCACTTCATTTGCTGGGATTTTTAGGAGAAAACGAAGGAAAAGTGTCTATTGAATGCGGAAAAATACAAGATACAACATCTGAACGGAGCCATTTATGCCTCACTTCAGGTTTATGATAGAACAGTGCAGGTAATTCGTATTTAATACATATCTTCAAAAAGAGAATTTAGTCAGACATTGCCGATCTTCTAGAAACGGAAACGATAAATGATGTCCAAGATTCACATCGAAAAGCAACGAAAGCTGCATTCAATTATTTTAACGAATGTAAGGTTTTACAGACTTTATCCCAATTTTCGTAGCAACGGCTGAATTCTGCGCCACCGACTACCAGACTGTACGCCAAAATAAGGCCCAACTAGTCGAGATGCTGGAGGTAAAACTGCTCGAAACAATTCCAGCCAATTATAGGATCGATTGATTGATGCCTTGAATCGAAATACCCAACAATGGATTAGAGGAAAAGCACAACAACTCGTCGAAAATCAGCTAGGGCAATTCGAAGATCATCTGAAGGCTGTTAGTATCCTACTATATATAAAAACGTAGTGTCTGTGTGTGTGTGTGTGTGTGTGCCACTTTGCATGCAACTTCCGTCAGGTTGTTCCAGGCGTATCTCAAGAAGGAGAGTAGTTAGGGGCATGTTTGATACGTCATTAGGAGCGTAATGGTCTGGCGATGCCTGCACGTATATCAGATTTATGAAATTCGCTTATTTTCGACGTTCAATTTAAGTTTTTGTTCAAAAATCCGGGACTCTCTTTGTTAGGAAGCAATTAGCATACACCGGAAGTGGCGGTAGCCTATATAAAGGAGCGGAGAGAGCCTTTTTCACTTTCTTCGGCGTGAGTCGGGCCGAATTATGCAAAGTGCAAAACTTTCATTGGGTTGGACGGGGCCAGGGTTGAAAAGTCGCGAAGCGGCTTTTCAACCCTGGTTTGTTTGTATTAAAATTCTCTATTCATTTTATCTCGTAGCGTAATCATGAAGTTATTCGAATTTTTTTGAAAGCTTTGACATCGTGCCATTTAGATAGCACCAGACGCGGAACCAGAAGATCTCAAACAATCGCTACAAAATGCCAGGAAGGAATTGCAGAACAGCTGGCAGATAGAAAAAGCCGAATTGATCCAGGAACTGATGGATGAACAGCCAAATATGCCGGTGGAAGGATTTGAAAGATATTTGGACAGTCTGTATTCCGGGACGCTGGCTAGAGGGTTAAAGGTATTACACCGGGTCTGAAAGCATTTGAAGCATTCTTTAGGCGGCGGAAACGCAGTTCCGAAAGATGGTCGAGTCGTCGAAAACTGTCCGTGAACTGCAAGCTGACGCGGAGAAGAGACGGTTGGAGCACGAGAAGAACATGCAAGACCTGGATGATGAGATTCAGCGATTAAATGCACAGGCAAATGCTTTGAAAATGAGAGAAACGGATGATGAAATGACATCAATGATGCTCAAGGTCGAAGCTGAGCATAAGGAACAGAAGATGCTGGAAAAGATGGAACTTCAGCAGCAAGCTGAGAAAATTTTTGCGCAGGATCGGAAGCTGCATGAGGAGAGATTAGGTATGGGTTTATATAGCGCATATTACATGAATGGTGCTGGGAAGAATAAAAATAATAGTGAAACGATCTGATTTCAGCGGCTCTCATATTGGACCAAGCCGAACAAACGGAGGATTACGATATGCAGCGACAAAAAGAAGCTGAGAGAATTGCGATGGAAAAGGCGGAAGAACAGAAATTACAAGATGGATTACGAATCTACACTGAAGCAAAAACAGCCCGCCTGCAAAAGGAAAGGAATAATGCTCGTGCTTTGTAAGAGTTTTTATTAAAAGATCTAATTGTTTTCAGGGTGAATGACATCGAGCCAGCTATCGGAATCGATCTTGGGACGACATATTCGGCTGTAGCTATTTGTATTGGTGATGAGGTCATCATGATTCCGAACGAATACGGTAGTCTCGAAAAACGCCCTGTTTATTGGGATGATTTTAGGCAACATCACGACACCCTCACAGGTCGCATATCTGGATGACAAGATTCTGGTTGGGCAAGCAGCCAAGAATCAAGCTAGTCGAAATTCTGGAAACACTATTTACGGTAGATTGCTTGGCGCGTACTATTTGTCTAATTGCATCGTCATCAATCGGTGTTTTTTTCAGAGGTGAAACGGCTTATGGGAAAAACTTTCGAAGACCCAACGGTGCAGGCCAATATGGGACTACGACCGTATAAAGTCGTTGATTCTTTTGGCGATCCAATGATCGAAGTGCAATATCAAAAGAAAGTCCATACAGTATCCCCAGTCGACGTCTCTACCCAATTGCTTACCAAACTGAGGGTCTGTATTACTTAACCATTGCTGACTAAAGTGATCCCTTCAGGAAATGGCAAGTGATTTTCTTGGAAAGCCCGTGAAGAAGGCGGTCATTACCGTGCCGGCATATTTCAATAATGCCCAACGAGAAGCGACAAAAGAAGCTGCAGAAAGAGCTGGACTAGAAGTGCTGCGGTTGTTGAATGAACCGACGGCAGCTGCAATCGCGTATGGTATTGACGAGAAAGTGGCTGAGAGAAGGACGGTTATCGTATACGACTTTGGAGGTATAAATGATGAACTGGGACTGTACCGATTTTCATTTCAGGTGGAACTCTCGACATCTCGCTGGGT